TCAAAAAATAAAGATTATTTGAGACGAGGAAATTACGTATCCATACTATTATATATGTGAGCACATGACTTGATATTTAATAGTGTGATGACTTCTCCTTTTACCTCGTGACAAATTTTCTTATCCTAAAATAAAAAAATATTATTCAAATGCGTGAGCAATTTGAATTCAATATCTTAGATTTTATTAAGAACACTCTTACATAACTTATATATGATAATATTAATTTTTTTATTATTTATTTTTATACTTACTTATCTGAATTGCACACACAATATATGTGTCATATATACATACATATATATATATATATATATATATATTGAGACAGAGAGAGAGAGAGAGGGGGAGAGAGAATTGGGGAAGTACGGAAATTCTTCACTATTAAAGAGGTTTGTAAGAGCCAAAAGCATTTTGGTTTCTTTGTCACATGATAACCTAACCCACCAACCCAAGTCCGCCATATTCAATAGGAAGGAATGTGTCCACATGATAAAATTATTGCCTATACAGTGTGATATAGAATGTATAAGTTTATGTTTAGTTTTAAAAATAAATAAAGTCTAGGTTAATAATTTATTGGGATATGGCATTGATGATATAAGAGATTATTGAATTTTAAAAATGGAGTAGAGATACAAAATGCGACATTAAAAAAAGGTTCGGAATCCATCTTAAAAAAAAAAAAAAAGAGGTTCAAATTAATTGACTCAATTATAAAATTGATAAATTTTGTTAATCTCTTCTTATAATCTTGAATAAATCCAATCTAATGTGCCCAAATAAACAAATATTTTAGAAGTTTAGGCTTTGGAATGCTACTTCGTTGGACCAATAACCACCACTGTTTGGCTATTTGGTTACAAAGGATCTAGGCACACTTCATACAAATTTTATAAATTATTTTGCATATGTAGTATAGAAAAGAAAAAAGAAAAAAAAGGACAATATAAGGCACATGAGACTCTCATTACAAAGTTGTTACAAGATTTAAAAAAGATCGCGTAGCCCTATTTCTATATGAAAAGGGATTATTTTCATATTTTGAACTTACGATACTTTATTCAACTTTTCATATTCATATATATATATATATATATTTGAAACACAAGAATTGTATTAAAATTGAAAAAGAAAGCATAAATTAGAGTTTCATATTATCAATCGTCTAAAATCTCCTCCAATTCTCCCTAAAATTGATAATTTGATATATTAAAACTTGTAAAGAAAAGAGTAGGGGTGTTCGCGGATCGGTTTTGTGCGGTTTGCGGTTCAGTTTTGACCCGCCCGCATCTATGCGGTTTGGAAAAAAGTCAACCCGCAACCGCCCGCAATACGGTTTGCGATTTATGCGGATAGAGTTTGCGGATGTGCGGGCGGTTGCGGGCGGTTTGCGGTTTACACTTTTTTCTTTAAAAATTAATTTTTGAGTTTTTTTTCCCCATCGAATTTAGGCCTCAGATTCATTTTATATATTTGTGATTATTTGACAACAATTTTCTGATGAGTTTACAAATAAAAATTGAATATCAATACATTAAATGAAAATACTTAAAACAAAGAGACCCTACGCTAGCATTTTTGTCATGAAAAAAATGTATATCAATGTATTAAAAAATATATATCAATGCATTAAAGGTTGTACGCAATTAGAATTGCCAGTTCAGTAATCAATAATCAAACTAAAAGCTCTATCGACTACCAAAAGGGGAATTTTATTAGAAAAAAGTGGATGAGTCACCAATGAAAATATATAAAAAATCAAGTTTAGGATTTGATAATTCTACGGCATTAAGAAAGTTGAGAAATACTTAAAAATAAGGATCCTAGTGTCATAGAGAATATAATGGGGCTCCTGTTAAAAGTTACAAAGTTGGTATATAAAAAAAAATAATAATAACAATAATAATTAAAGTGCGAGCGGTTTTTGCGGGTTGCGGGTTTAAACCGCGACCCGCCCGCAACCCGCAAATTTGTCATATTTCAAACCGCATCCGCCCGCATTATGTTTGCGAAACCGCCCATTTATATGCGGATTAGGCGGATTGGGCGGTTTGAGCGGTTCGGATAAACCGTTGCCCACCCCTAGTTCAACCGATCAAAAATGGTTTCACCACCTTACGCGTGTAAAGGCTTAGTCCTGAACACCCCTAGAAAAGAGAAAAGACAAGTCATAAAGGGAGGAGAGAAGAGAAGAAAATCTACTTTTTTTATCTTTTATTTTTTAATAGAGAAAAAAGATGTTCTAAGGTGTCATCACAGTATTTGTAGACCCAGATTTCGGGATAATCGGTTGTAGCCTGATTTAACCCAACCCATAGGAAGAAACTTACCATCAACGCACTAACAGAACTCAACCACACGTTATAGACGAACCCAAGATTCGATCGGAATACAGAGTGAAATCTCCGCAAAGAATTACTGGAATTATCCAGCATTTCGCTCCCTGAGGAGTTGAACCTAGGTCACACCTATGAAAAAAGATGCCTTCTCCACTAGTCCACCACCTCCCGTCGTGAGAAGAAAATCTACTTGACTAGTTGAAAGACACAAGCAATGAAGAAAAATAATAATTGGGAGCAAGTATTAAATATAGCGTTATAAAAATAATCAAAACGGTTTACAGTCCATTTTAAACACGGATACTTGAGAGAGGACTAAGGGGTTGTTTGGTATGACCTAAATAAGCCTGTGTTTGGCAAGTGGGTTTGCAAGCTTTTTTGGCTATTTTAGCCACAAAAAACAAAATAGGCTATTTTAGCCATAACAAATAAAACATCATATCCAACCCATAATCATTACATTCTTCTCTCACAAAAAAATTCAAAAAAGCTAAAAAGCCAAAAAGCCCTTCCCAAACCAAGCTTTTAAGCCCAGGCTAAAATAGCCAAAAAAGCCAAAAAGCCAAAAAGCCAACCCACTTCCCAAACGGAGGCTAAGGGTTTGCAATTTTTTTTGGCTATTTTAGCCACAAAAAATAAAATAGGCTATTTTAGTCATAACAAATAAAACATCATATCCAACCCATAATCATTACATTCTTCTCTCACAAAAAAAAACTCAAAAAATCCAAAAAGCCAAAAAGCCCTTCCCAAACCAAGCTTTTAAGCCCAGGCTAAAATAGCCAAAAAAGTCAAAAAGTCAAAAAGTCAACCCACTTCCCAAACGGAGGCTAAGTGCATTTTTTATCTTTTTACAAAAAGATGTACAGAAAAGTAGAGAGATAATGTAATGAAAAAAAGATAAAAAAATAAAAAATATATACTTATTTAGGGATAGTCAAACTTGACCATAATTTTAGTTATTTTCCCATGAAACAAATATAAAGTTGTGAGCATTATAGTGGTACCTACCAAGTTTGTCGGTGCAAGGTTTACAAGGGTGCTATTATCTTGTACAGTAGGTTCTATCGTTTTACAGTGTTTCACCTATGTTGTATTTGTCTATTCTGATTAACACTATAAACATTATCATATGATCATGATGATTTGTCGATATAAATCCTAGAAAATATATTACTGCCTATAAAAGTTGTTGCATTGTACTTTTCACATATTTTTTCTAATCGTAAAACTGATGTGAAGTGATAGGAATCGTAAACGCAATCAATCTAATCAAACTATATTAATCTCAACTCAAAATTAATCTTGCTAGGTGCAGTATTTTAGATTGTTTGTAGTGTTTTTTTATTTTTAAAATTTGTGCTAAGTTGGTTTAATTTCTTAATACAATTTATGATGTACAAATAACTTAGTTAAATTGAAAAAAAAATAATTATTAAAAAACAAAGAAACTGATATTTTTTTTGGTCCATATTTTAGTTATTAATTTTTAATGTGCAATAAATTGTACAGACAGACTTAATTTTTTACCTCAATAGGAATATGAGAACATCATTCGATCTAGACCATGATCAAAACTTTAGCCACAGACCATTTTAACCTTTCGATTGTGACGGTATTATGTGATTGGTGGTGGGTGAGAATTCACTTGAAAATTTGATCACCAATGGGTCACTTTCAAAAGCCAAGGGCACAGCAAGCAACCCACCAAAGGGCCCCTTAGAACTTTGATGTTGTCCAATTCAAAATGTTCCAAAATGCCCTTTAGTGTATTAGAGAAATTGAAACATAAGGGACCCAATGAGGTGTCAAAACTACCAAACACTTCTACTTTTAATAATGAGATCAGCTTTTTGCAAATTAAAAGGGATAGTAAAACCTTAACCCTCATAAACTATTAAGGGCAATTTTGAAAGTATAGAAATTACCGGGTATTTCGCCAGAAATTAGGATGCAAGAAAGCTGAAAGTATGACAAGACATTTGGCTGTTCATCAAGTTGTAACTTTTTGGTCAAGTGTTTGGTACCTAAAAAAAATGAGCAATGGTAGAGGGCCCAAATTCTGTGGCTCAAATGTGGCTCAAATGGCCAAAACGACGTCGTTTTGAGTACAAAACAACATTTTTATATTTTCATATATATATATATATATATAATATTTTTTATTTTTCATCACCAACAATAATTCTAATAATTATTTTTAACATTTTTCAAGAAAAAAATAAAATGATGTCGATCTTATTTTTCACTCATCCAATTAAAATGTGTCAGGTTAATTTTACTCATCCTATTATTAGGGACATAAGATTTTCTATTTTCAAAATTTTTAAATACAACATATTCACAATATAAATCTCATAATGATGTGCCAATGAATTAGAATTTTTAACAAATCAAAAATTAACATATAAATTATGAGAAAAATTGTGAGACTTAAATGGTGGATCTCACCCTTTTCAGATTCTGCTTTTGTCTTATCTCTTTCATGTTATCATTTGTCTAGTTCCAAAAAAAAATAAAAAAAAATTGGATACACACTATAAACATTAGTACAATTGAATACCAAATTGAAATAGTTTGTTTAAACTACTAACATTTTGATAAACATTAATATATAGTTTGATAAACATCATAGAAGGTGATCTCAGTAAGTTCTTAAAAACTGATGTACTACATCATACCCAAATTGAAGGCTTTTGACATAGATAAGGACTACAACCATCTCTCTCTCTCTCTCTCTCTCTCTCTGTACAGTGAAAGAAAGAAAACAGTCCAGTCTGGTCATTTTCTTTTTTTTGAGTCTCTTTCACTGCCTTTACTTACTTACTCCAACCAAAGGGTCACTGTATTTCAAAGAAGATCTCAGACCATTTTCTTTCTGTTTCTGTTTCTGTTTCTGTTTCTGTTTTTGTTTTTGTTGTTTGGAATTGGATAAGAGATGAATGAGGAGATGAACGGTGGTGATCAGCTGAAGACGGTGGTAATGGAGGAGATCAATGGCGGTGGTGGTCCTCCGGCAGAGAAAATAGACTATGTGTTCAAGGTGGTGGTGATTGGTGACTCGGCGGTGGGGAAGACTCAGATACTGTCAAGGTTTACAAAGAATGAGTTTTGTTTTGATTCAAAATCAACCATTGGGGTTGAGTTCCAGACTCGCACTGTCACCATCAAGTCGAAGCTCATCAAGGCCCAGATCTGGGACACTGCTGGCCAAGAAAGGTAGCTTCCTCTCCTTCTCTCTTTTCATTTTAAGCTCCGTTTATTTTGATGAAAAACATTATGTAGAACAAGTTTTTGTTTTTATTTATTTATTTATTTACTTTTCAATGTATTTGATTGTGATCTTGAAAACTAAAATGCTAGTTGTTGTGAAGTTGTGGTGGAGGTGGGCAGCACTGGGGTGGTAGTAGAATGGTGGCATCAGTGATGGTGATGGTGATGGTGATGGTGACAGCGGCAGTTGTAGTAGAATGGTGGTAACGGCGATAATAGGAGTTGTGATGGTGGCAGCTTGGCAATGTGATGGTAGTGATAGGGGTAAGGTGGGTGGTGGTAGTAAAGTTCAAAAATATTTTGACTTTGAAAAGTAAAAAAAAAGATGTCTTACTCAAATAAATTTATTTAGCATTAATGTTGTTTTGATTTATTTGGTTGTTTAGAAAGTTGTAGATTAATATATTTTTTAATTTTTTATAAAAAAAATATAAAATATAAGTTAAGTTTAAAGTGATATGATAAAAAAATAATATAATTTAAATAAAATAATTATAATTTAAATAAAATATTATATTAAAATAATATGTGTTATTTTATTACAAGCCGAACAAATACTTACTGCAAATGGCTGCTAAAAGGGAAAAAAAAGGAGTCCGGATCTTCTGCCAGTATTAGTTTTTTTTTTTTTTTTTTTCCTCGTTTCTTAGCTGGTGCTTCATCTAATTTGTTTTCTTTTTTGACAATCTAAACACAGAGAGAGAGAGAGAGAGAGAGTTTCTTCCAATTTTTCATGAAGATGAAGATCATGTCACCATTGACCTTTCTCTTCACAAACAATCTCATACTCCAATCTCTCTTTCTCACTCTCTCTCTCTCCTTGCTCAAGATCCCCATTCTCTTCCTCCAAGGCCTCCACACCTACATCCACCCCGACGAGGTCAACCCCTCCGCAGCTCCCAACGGCGGCCTCAGGGCCGCGATTCGAAGACCCGGCACCTCCGACCACCAAGAACTCAAACCCAGAAAACAATCCAAAGAAAAATTTGAATTCGACGAAAACAAAGCTCAGATCTTCAGACTCAAGCTCACATCACTTAAATTAATGAAACAAAAAAAAAAAATTGAAAAAAAATTCAACTGAACAACAAACAACAAATCTGGTTCCACAAATCAAATCATATATATATATATATAAAATGAGAATGAAGGCCAGACCTCATAGCCAGACCTCTCCAGACCTCGTCGCCGTCGCCTCCCCCTCTCTATCTGTCTCCTACCACTGCCAAAGCTAAATTAAAATTTTTTTTTATAATATTCACAACCAAAGCAAAATAGACATTAAATCTTCAAACAGGCTCTTATAACATTGTAAACAAGTTCTTGTAACATGGGGGGAGAGAGTGAGAGAGAGAGAGAGAGACAGAGAGACAAAGAGACAGAGAGAGAGAGAGAGTGTGTGTGTGTGTGTATCAAAGACGATGAAAAAAAGGGAAAAAAAAAAAAAAAAGGTTCAAAACGACGTCGTTTTGAACCACCGCAGGGGCCACTGCAGGAATGTATGGCAGAGGATCTGGACTCAAAAAAAAAAGGGAAAGGGGAACATTATTAATCATGCAACGAAGGACTAATAGTAGATTGATGTGTTAGAGAGAGAGAGAGAGGGTGTGTGTTAGAAGTTTTTCATTGTTCAAACTTGAAATTGAAAATATGAGAGAGAGAGAGAGAGATATATATGGAGAAAGCAAAGTTTGAGCAATAATGGAGGCTCTGATTTTTTTTTAACAAATGGAGGCTCTGATGGAATGTACATTATTACACTCAAATACTTCTGTTGCAGCACTGCGTATGAAAGACGCTCTGTATTAATTTGTTTTTGTTTTTGTTTTTATTTTTGTAAATATTAAAATAATTATATTAAATTTGACAATCAATCAAAAAAAAATATATATATATATATATATAAGAAGTCCAGTAACACCACATATTCACAAATATAACTCCAATATAACCACAATATCAATATAAAATAGAGTCTCATGAATAATTGACCCCTAATATTTTAGTTAGAAGTGTATGGAAATGAGCAATTGAATTAGTTCAATTATTAATGTTGCATAATTTGTTTGGTCCATAACATAAAATTAATAATCCTTAGTTTGGGGCCCAAATTGATAACAGTCGGTGGTGGTTAAGATTTATTATATTTTTAAAATATATTTTTCAAATAACTAAATATATTATTATAGTAGAACAACTCAAATGTATAATTAAGGATCTCAAGTCAATCTTAACATAGTAATGGATGGATGACTTCTAAGGAGGAGAGATAGACTTTGAGAGTTCAATTAATTGTTATAGTCATGCATACAAAAAAAAAATTTTCTTCCTCTCAATAATAAATGGCAATAGGAGAAGAGGACTTCAAATATAAACCCTAAATCTAACTAACCTTTCAGTTCATTAATCAGAATTTTTACATTTCATTAAAAAGTAAGTAATTTGAATCTTTTTATCTATCTATGAGTTTTATTTCTCATAAATTTATTTGGAATTTTTTTATATTAATTATGCATTATATTTTGATATTCATTATGAGACATTAATTGATTTTCATTCATTGAGTATTCTAACATAACACTCTTTGTGCACTTTAACGTACAATAGGAGTTAGGGCCTGCTATGCGAGCAAGGATCCTCTAGAGTGATTTTTTCCCAAATATAAACCCTAATGGTGTGTTTGGTTGGAGGATTTGGGAAGGGATTTGGAAAAGGAAAGGGAAAAGGTGTGTGAAACTATGTGAAATTTAGGCATGTTTTATTTATATTTCACCTAGCTTTTCCATTTCCTTTTCCAAATCCCTCCTCAAATCCCTCAACCAAACACAACATAAATCTAACTAACCTTTCACTTCATTAATCAGAATTTTTACATTTCATTAAAAAGTAAGTAATTTGAATCTTTTTATCTATCTGTGAGTTTTATTTCTCATAAATTTATTTGGAATTTTTTTATATTAATTATGCATTATATTTTGATATTCATTATGAGACATTAATAGATTTTCATTCATTGAGTATTCTAACACTCTTTGTGCACTTTAACGTACAATAGTAGTTAGGCCCTGCTATGCACTAGTTGGACAAGGCGTGCAATTCATTATAGAATGGGAAAATATTTATTCCTATTTATGGGCCGAGATTTTCACTTTCCTTTATAGAAAATGGGAAAAACCCATAAATTAGTGTGTAAATGTAATATATATATATATATATATATAATTCAATCAAAACTTCTCTAGTTATCCTAATTTCTAATTTCAATGAAGTCGAATTACTTGTCTTCATTGGTATATTACTACATTTAGATAATATTGAATGAGTTTAAATAGTTCTTATTTTTTATCGATTCTTGTCAAAAAATAACAAAAAAAAAATTTTTCGAATAATGTTATATGTACCAATTAGTATACTAATTAGTGTACTACCAGATGATATAGTATAATTTTAAGTTTTCAATCTTTGTAATTTATGTAATAGATGAAGTCATAATTTTAAAATAATATATGTTTATATATTAATTGATATATCAATTAGTGTATATAATGCCACCGTCTTTTTTACATTTTCTTTTCAACTAAACACAAGATGGTGGAATCCACACTATTAATACATGTGTGGTTTGCTTATTTTGTGTTTAATAGCAAGAACATATGACTGTAGCATTTTTGTTAGTAATATTTGAACATGAAAAATCTTAATCTTATAACAAAATTTATACGAAAATTCTCATCAGAATAATATAATAATAATATTTTTGTAATTAGAAGTCATTTTGACTGGTGTATAGAATGAATAAAGTCAACTTTAAAAATAAAAAAAATAAAATAGTGACAAACGCAATAATTGAATATGTTATAATTATCGGATCGCTTAAATTTTTTTTTATGGATGAAATATACTAAGTATCCGATAAAATACATTATTCAGATTACCAAAATGGGACCCAATTTAAACGTCTTTCAATCCAAAATCAGGACCAAAAAGGATCGTCCTCCTCATAATAATTAAAAAAAAAAAAAAAAAACTACTCACAAACGTAGTTTAAAGCAAAAGTACAGTAGTGAAGGTAAATATTTTAAAAAATTAAATTATATATATATATTTTTTCCACAGGTATAGGGCAGTCACAAGTGCATACTACAGAGGTGCACTAGGGGCAATGTTAGTGTACGACGTGACCAAGAGGCAGACCTTTGATCACGTCGCAAGATGGGTCGAGGAGCTCCGGGCCCACGCCGATAGTTCCATCGTGATCATGTTGATCGGCAACAAGGCCGATCTAACGGACCTGAGGGCGGTTCCAACGGAGGACGCGGTTGAGTTTGCAGAGGATCAGGGCCTGTTTTTTTCCGAGACCTCGGCTTTAAGTGGTGACAACGTGGACAGTGCGTTCTTTAGGCTGCTGGAGGAAATATACGGTGTGGTATCGAAGAAGGCGTTGGATTGTGGTGATGGGAAAATCAACGGTGGTGATTCCGCGATGCTCAAAGGGTTGAAGATTGATGTGATTGCTGCCCCTGATTTTGAAGTTAGTGAGATGAAGAAATTGTCTGCATGCTCTTGTTGATCTTTTTGTTGCTAAAGTGAAGACTGTCCCAGGATTTGTCAATTATGGTTGTTTAAAAGTTGTGAAATGCATAAGAATGGAGACATGACAGTTGTATTGTATTTACATGTTATAATTTATCTATATATATATTTGAAGCAATGTTTTGACCTATGATTTAAACGCTACATTTATCATATTTTGTTTAATGTAAAAATTGTTATTTCAGAAAAAATTGTGGTTGGCATTAGCAAATTTCATTGGTTGACTCCATTATAATTTTTTTTTAACAGTGACTTCATTAGAATGTGATTTGAAATCTTAGGAGTTGGGTGTACTTTCTACTAGTGGGACAAATGTATTTGTCAAAAATCTTGATTTTGAATGGACTAGATTAGACGGTATTATATTATTAGGATTTTTAGTTTTGCGATCATCAATTCCTTTGATTATATAACCTATCTTATGCTTGGATTAACTCAAATTATGAGAAAAGATTAATAAAATTCTATGAAATTTATAATTTAGTTAATGAGTCAGGACCTAAATCTTTTTATTTATTTATTTTTTATCTCACCCCTCTTGAGAGATTTAAAAGTCTCCCACATAAGAAACATTGGCTTTGTTTGAATTGTGCTTTGAAAAATGAAAACTAGTTTAATAAAAATAAATTTCAAAAATATAATTTTGAAATTTTAAAAATTATTTTTGACCTCTCACAAGATAAAATTATGTAAAAATGACAAGTGTTTTTGACTTTTTTAATTTCCTTTACCAAATTAATTTTAAATTTTTTTTTAAAAAAAAAATTCTGAAAACTAAACCAAACTGAGTGAACTACATTTGAGGCTCTAATTTTTTTAGACAAATGTAAAATTATATATTTTGTTAAATTATTAATTTAATCCCAACAGGGCCTCTTTGAAAGAAACTGGGCACCTTTAAAAAACCCCACCCTGCCATTCCTAGCAAAGGAAGGCTGGGGGCCATGTTGTGGTGGGCTACTCCAAAATCAGCCGGCCCATTGTGTGTGTACATATTTGCATGCATGTATAAATCATATAGTAAAATTCAGTTTGTCATATATATAATCAGATGGTAAAATTTATGTGTTCTTAGGATATTTTTGAAAAAAAGGAAGGAATTTGAAATCTTTGATCACTTTGTGTAGGCGCAAGTAATCATTCATGCTTGTATTTTTTAATTGAATTTCTGTTTACAAATCGATATTTTGAGTGTATTGAAAAAAGTAATTAGACCGTGACATAATACCACTCAACCCACGCTAGTCTGTTGGTATGTTGATATGGGAATATCCTAATCTAAAAAAAGTGAAAAAGCATGGCACAATTGATTGATGATTCTTTTTTCTTTTTGTATAAAGTGGATAGGACTTGGGAGTTCATTTCTCTAATTTGCCAAAGACTATGTTTCAATCTTGAATTAGATTTGAGTTTTTTTTTCTCAGTTCTTGCATATGAATTAGAAGTCCAATCTAAGTTTTAATCCAAGTAAAAAATCTAAACCCAATATTTGATGGATTAATGAGTAGTTAAAACTGCTCAAATTGGTTTATCTCTGGCCTGAATTTATGTGGGATTTTGGAGATAAAAGAAAAAGAAGAAAAAATGAGTGAAAAATAAATACAATGTTTTAATTAAAAAATATAAATCCAAAGAGAAGAACAAAAGTGATGTCACTACAGCTGTAATAGAATTGTTTATTAAATTTTTTTAATAAACAATTTTTAGTTTTTACGACATACAATCAATTTGATTTTTTACAGATATGATATACATGACAAATCCTAAAATATAAACAATTCGAATCATTAAAATTAGACTAAAAAATGAACTCGATAACCCACCAAATAATGAGCCAAGAAGAGGATCCCTACTCAAGTTCAAAGGTTTTGATGCATGCATATGGCATCTAATTGTCACTTTTCAATATATCCTCAAAAATTTGTAGGCGTGCCTCCTCCTTATAATGCAAATTATTCCAAAGACCATCTCTCAAAGGTTTTGATGCATGCATATGGCATCTAATTGTCACTTTTCAATATATCCTCAAGAATCATTAGCTGTAAGTGGTTGGTTGGTTGCGCTGTGGAATAAAGAATGTAATTCAGGAATGCACTATGGAGAATAGCAACCAAAAAAAAAAAAAAAAAAAAAATAGTATCAAATCAAAATAATTTGTGGGGGCCGAGCAAATTATTACTGTTGACTTTTTTGGCTTTCGAAGGTTATTTCCGTAATTATGAGCGTGCTAGCAAGGATCAATCAGTCCTTACAGAATTGTAATTGCCAAACAATTATTCAGACGATTGTGTTATGGTTCTTTCGGCCTCAATAAAGAGGACTTTTACTGGTGGCTTACAGGTAATTTGACTTCAGAAAACTTGAACATAAGAACAATTAAATAAACTGAAATATTTCATTGGTATGAAAAACTTACAATGATCTTAGTTCCGTAGAGAATTACAGCGGCAATATACTTGAAAACTACTCCTATAAATGAAGTGCGGCGCAGAAACTTAAAGTACAGAAATATAAATGATAGGAAATAACACAGGACTATGTAAGTAATTCTTTAGATCTTTTGCCGTCCCTTCCTCTGAAGTCCTTCCTGCTATTTATACTCTCCGAAGATAACCATCGAATTGTACTTCAAACTGTCGAACTGCTCCTTCATAGTCGCTGATCATGCTACCTTATAAGTAGTTCCACTACACCTTTACTTGCAGTTAGGCTTCCCCCTTATATTCGAATTTGAAATGTGAGCAACCGTTGAAGCCACGTCATTGTACGTCTCTTTGTTGATCTGCTACTACTCAGATCTTATAACAACCAATATTAATTGCCACGTGTATGATCAGGATCGAAGACCTACCTGGTCTCCCCATATTACCCTCACTTTGTCACGTGTCGAATTGTCACTGGCTTAGTACAAAATGTGTAGCCAACATTACCCCCCGCACTAATATACCCAAGACTTGGTGATATTAGTGGATCAGAGTCCCTTTTCCCACGTCTTAGAACGTGCATGGGTTTTGCATCTTCCCAGAAATGCAACTGTCACACACCATCTGTATTAATACTCTCGTCTTGATCCTTAAGTACTTTCACTGTCTTATTATTCGAACAGACTGATACATTTCATGGCCAAATTAATTCTTTCTTCCAATGATGAAGCATACGAAGAGTCATATGTCGATGCTATTCCTCGTCGAAAGCATGCATTTATTAGCCACCTTTACCCACCTTCCTATATTCAGGTCATGGACGCCTTTGCAAATTACCGACCTTTGGATTACGAACACATTGCTCTTAATCCTTCGATTCAGAAGGCTACAAACAAAGACATAAGAATTTTCCCCTCTGACCTACCTTTACAGTTCGAACAATCTGCTCTCAAACCTCTGATTCGTAAAATTACAAATATGGATTTGAACAACTCTTCTTCGCAAATTTCTGCATGGGATAAAGCTGCAGCTGCTTCCTCCTCTGGCTCTTCTGGAGGTTCTGACTGGACAAACTGGTCAGTACCTGAGACTTATGATTTAAAGGAGCGAATCAACCACCATTTTGTCGAGTTCACTGACCCTTTAGAGTTTCCCTCCTATGCTCGAAGTTCAGTTGTTTATCCCGATGTGCCCATTGACCATCGGCGTAGTCTAGAGGAGAATCTTCTTGTAGCATGGTACACATCTTCCATGCCTACAAAGACAGTGCACACTGCCCCACGTCCAGAAGAAGCCCAAGGGTATAACCCATCATTCTTAGCCCAGAAGACGAAGATCTGTTCTTCTGACTGGCTTGATTATATTAATGCCTTTGTTCCTTCTGCCCCCGTATCATCCCCGAAAACAAAAGCATCCACATCTTCTTTTTCGTCCCCCGAAGTTGAAGTATGCACACCTTCTCCCCCACCAATTCTTTC